AACCTTGAGTTTGCCCTCCACTCCCTCTACACTTTCAAGCTCCACCCATCCCACCAGCACCGTCGTGCCGGTTTCCGCCAGAAAAGGAGCAATTTCTGTGCCATGCCGACGGCATTATTATTGGCCAGGTCGCCCCGTATGTCAGTCCGGAGTTTCGCCAGTGCCAGGCTACATATTACTGCTTTGTTCGGTTCGCCTGCACGATGGCCCCATCGGTCATCATGGTTGAAACCGCTGGCTTGTCGTCAGCAATGAATATATATATACACAAAGAGCACACGAATAAGGGAGTAAATACGGGAGCTTACCCAGCGGTCAACATCTCAATCAGATGCTGTTCAGTAGATCCGGGCTCGTCGCTTTTTCGGAGTCCCGAGAAGATCCCGTCCTGTTTCAACAAGGCCCTCCCAGCGGCTCGTTTCACTTCGATCATCTCTGGATGCTCGATATTGACTACGGGCGGTATTGCGTAGAAGTCAAGGTCTTCGCGGAGCACGATGATACCCGCACGGCCCTGCAACATATCCCTCGTGGACCCATGCATCGGGTCCATGGCGTAATCTCCTTCAGGCGATGTGGTTGGGGATGGAGAGGATGAGGGAATTGATTGCGCCACAGAGCGGAAGAAATCTAACATGTATTGAAGGGAAGCTGGGTCGTACTAAATGGAATCATATCATGTGGATGAGTGCCGTGTTTGGCTAAGGATAATGGAAAGGGGGATTTTAAGTATACGGAGGGGAGGGATATGCAAACTTACGTCGACAGGGTATACATCACCTTCATGGAACGTCCCCATATGCCCATCAGGAAGGAGCCCATTCGGGAATAAGGAAAGAAGAACGAATTCTGGTAGAGTGAGTAGTTCATCGCGCGACAGTGTAAATCGTGTACCACTATCCACCCCATTTTTCAATTAGTTCCAGAATAGTTTCTGTTATATAAGGATTTCGTCTGCAGAGAAACTAACCGTAAATCTAACGTGATGTGCTCATCGCCTCCAATATCTTTGAAATAGAAAATGAATTAGCAAACTTCAGGAATGCCAAAGCAATGTATGTTTGCATATAATTGTGGGGGGTACGCGTACCTCCAAGCGCATTCACCGGGCCTCCACCTGTTTGTTGTACTTGCGTAATAATAGATGCAGCTCCTCCTGCGGCGGCCATGACGTAGGTAAAGGACTCGAGCGGACTATACCCTTCAGTATATGGCGGTGGCGGCTCTCCGTCGTCTGGACCTTTGCCCGATGCTTCTCCTGTCTTATCTCGCGAAAGAGCCGCTTTAGTATCTAAGATAACAGGCGATTGCGCAAGTGATTGGGATTGGAGGGTGGAGGGTTCTTTGAATGGCTGTGCTGGTGAGAATGCCGGGAAACACGGCGAACCAGATTCTGTGACGGATGTCTGGATGCGACTGAGCTCCTCGTCAGCAGCCGGGCTGGAGTACAGGGATGAGAAAGGTGGCGGGTAGGATGAGGGAGAGGGAAATGGAAAGGCAAAGTGGTTGCCCGAGGAAGAGGAGTTTGGCGAGTGAAGAGGTGGAGCGGTATAGGAATCGTCGTCGTTCTCCACGGTGCGTGACGTGCGGCGTGAACTAGATGGCTGCGCCGTCCTGGGCGAGCGTGATGGGTCTTGAATGCTCGACAACGCGATGGAGGATGGGTAGTAATTAGGTTTAGATATCGGTCTGACGAGTTTGGAGGTCTGGGTCTTAAATTATGGGTTGTCCTCTGCTTGGTTGCATGCGATGCGGAATGGGATTGTGGGAGTTATGCTCCACAGACAATGGGAGTCTGACCAGAAGGCGAAGGAGGGTAGAGGTTGGGATAAGGTAGTAAAGTCGATCTAAAGGAACCTAAGGAGCAAAGGCGGGAACGAAGTAAGGAACATAGAGGATGACGAAGCAGGGGATAGTCAGAGCAGCTTGGAAAGCCTAGGGGGTTATGCGATAGAGATGTAAGAAAATTGACGCTATGAGGTATATGGACGGGGCTGGACCGGACCGGACGGGTGGATGGAATGAATCTGAATTATCTGAGGAGAAATCGGTGCTGAGTGGTAGTGTTGTGGTGATGTGATGTGATGGCGGTGGCAGTAACTATTTAGCTGGGGAGTTGAGATGAACGTTGGAAGTCAAAGAGTGCCAGAACCATGGACAGCCTCCAACCTCCAGCCCCTGAACTGCGCCGAACAAAGCTCCAGTCACTTTGGCACCTACAACGATTATTACTTGTCAAATAACACACCACCTCTTGTTGGCCATATTTAATCTCAAATGCACCGTCGAGATTCAACTTCCAAGTCTCAGGAGTACATTGCATCTTTACAGTGTTGTCCAGTCCAACGCAGTCTGCACCGTATGTATATATGCATGATAAAAATGAAATATCTAAAATACAAAATAAAATGCCTGCTCTCCAAAAGACATACCGAATTCCGGGGATCATGTATATAACAATGTCTTTGCCTGTGCTCTTGCCTCCTCAACTAAGCCCAATATTCAAGATGAATTCCAAAAGTCCGGGAAGGTTTTTTTTAAAAGAAAAAAAAGACATAGCTCATTAAGTGTCTCGTAATGCGGGATATGTATCTTCCAAGGAAAGGCGTTCGCTGTAGCTTGACAATGCAGT